AAAACTATAGGGTAGGTATTATTACTACTATTTATTTTAATGTAAACAAATATATTAATTTTCTTTATTTCTAAAAGGTACGATAACATATTATATTACAGCGCCCTGCACTAGTGTGTATTTATGCTATTTATAGCAATTATCAATTAAATATTATGTTTTTTTTCATACACTTTTCGTTTCATCGTCTGTTGAAATATGGTAACATTGGTTATAAATTAACTTTATTTTAATAGTGCCATATCAACAAAAATCCCTAACCCCCCATCCCTATATACGCCACTGAGTGAGCAAAACATTCAGTTCTAACATCTCCTTACTCCTTAGCACAGGCTGTGAGCTGAGAACACGGGCCTGTTAAAAAATTATTTCCCAGGCCGTTWGTTTGAGCTAGTCCAACCCTGGGCTTAGTCCCCTCTAGAATTGYTATAGCCCCCCTAATATCTTATGATTTTACCACATAATACACAAGACAGAAATATCACTTTTCGAGCATCACGTGCATCGAAAACCAAGTGATCATAACAACGGGTAAATTAGAGGGAAATGTCTTATATAAGAATTGGTACTAAATTAGATATCTGCCTCCAAAAAAAGTTCAAACACCATGCCCACGAATTAAAATAATTCGTATAATATGTCATCTAGTGAAGTTTAACACAGATAGAAATTAGTAATTACTAATTATAAATACCGTTGCCATCATGTTTAATATTAAATTATCTATAATCAATTTTTATTTTCTTATTTATTATTAGCAATACTTATGCCAATATTAAATACCTAGATTTATGTTTTCAATTTATGGATGGCATCCATCTGTCTCGAGTGTGTGATTATTTTATAATATGATGCATAGGCACGTGTTGTTAAATGTTATGTTGTGCACTTATGCGTTTTACACTTCTATATCCACTATCCAGTATATCCATATTATTATTATACTTATAGCGTAATTTATTATTTGAATCATATTGAATATTATCATTTATTTATGGCGTGTAGGTGCCCATATATTGTGTATTAATGTAATCATATCGTTAACGGCTTAGGCAGTGTTTTATTCAACGTAATAATATATAATAATAAAAGAGTCACGCAATACGTTTAAAATATGTAGAAAAAAAATAACCGTATCGCGTCGTCGTCATAATAATATTGTCGTTATTACAACGTAGTACGTACTATATTGTGCCTATATGGTCATTGGTTATCACTATATGTAGGTTGTTGGTATATTAATAGATAATATTGTACCCACACAATGGTCCATAATACTATGGGACAGAGAACAGTGTAATACTCGTAGTTCATACAGTGCACAGGGGCGTCATTTGGG